GTGTTACTGTGTTATTGTGTGTTATTGTGTGTTATTGTGTGTTACTGTGTGTTATTGTGTGTTACTGTGTGTTACTGTGTGTTATTGTGTGTTACTGTGTGTTATTGTGTGTTATAATGTGTGTTACAGTGTGTTATTGTGTGTTACAGTGTGTTACAGTGTGTTATTGTGTGTTATAGTGTGTTATTGTGTGTTATTGTGTGTTATAATGTGTTATTGTGTGTTATAATGTGTTACAGTGTGTTACTGTGTGTCCATGTGTTTCCTATTTAAACTGACCTCATTCCTTAGACCGGGAGTAGAATGACATCATCCTGCAGCAGATCAACTCTCTGCTGTCGATGGATGAAACTTTCACATTAAAAGCAGTCTCCTGACAGCTGGAAGACAAACAATGCAAAGTCGTGAACTTTTATTTTGGCGGGCAGATCTAATGTTAGTGAACAGAACAGGAAACTGGGTCACATGAGACGATCGCAGAACGCTAGAAAACAAATGTGTGGACGCTCAGTGGAGAATAGAGCATAGACAGAGTTTATGGTTGATTATTAATTAAAGTGCTGATCATCATAAGAACTGCACATGATTCAAACTGTCAGTGGGTCACTGAGAGGAAATCACTGATATATAATATAATATATATTATGTCTGAAACAACAACTATTGGATGGAAATGAAACTTGGTTCAAACGTTCATGTTTCCCAAAAAGCTGAAAGCCCACCAGACCCAGTGACTGACAGCATTATGGAAAGGATCCCTACAGAGATAGACCTTTAGTTTAACAGCTGTAATATCACTATCACTCCTGATATTGAAACAAACACGTCCTTATTGTCCCACAGACTCTAAAGCCATCGTGGATGGGAACCTGAAGCTGATCCTGGGTCTGATCTGGACCCTGATCCTGCACTACTCCATCTCCATGCCCATGTGGGAGGACGAGGACGACGAAGACGCTAAGAAACTGACCCCCAAACAGCGTCTGCTGGGCTGGATCCAGAACAAGGTGCCCCAGCTCCCCATCACCAACTTCCACCGAGACTGGAGGGACGGCAAGGCACTGGGAGCACTGGTGGACAACTGCGCCCCAGGTAGGTTCACAGCGAGGACCTGGATAGATAATGGAGTCCTCCTCAGCTGAGGACAGCTAACATTTGTCTTTCCTGATCGTATCAGGAAACATCAGGACAATGTTACACAGGATGTATTTTGTATTTTGGGGTGAACTGTCCCTTTAAGGTGTAAAACTGAACCTGGTCCTCACAGAGACAGAAGACCAGCTGTCCTCCTCAGTGTATCAGTTAAATCCTCTTAGCGGTTTTATGACGGACGGCGTGTGTCAGTGTTAACAGGAAACACTTCACTGCTCCACTGTTTCCTCTGAACAGGTAAAACCTTCAATCTGTACGTTCTCAGGGCTTGGACTGATTATTGGTGATTGATCACCAAACACAGAGGTGATCAGCTCTTATTATCAGCTCTTATTATTCAGTCTTTGGAGGACAGCAGGGTGTGTCTGATATTTCAGATGAAATGCTTATTAACTAAGAAACAGCCCTTTTGTCCACAGAGAGCGCCATAATCAACACAGAATGTTTTATATTGTGATTCGTTGTCTGTGTTCAGGAAATGTGCACTGTTTGAAACATATTGATCCACATTCTCATATTAGCTTGTTGATTAGCTAACTTTTTAGCCATTTGCTGCCAAAACTCAAACTTCTTCAGATGTACTGACGAGCGCCGTCTCTCCGTGCTGCCTTCAGGTCTGTGTCCAGACTGGGAAACATGGGATCCCAGTCAGCCGGTGGAAAACGCCAGAGAGGCCATGCAGCAGGCTGACGACTGGCTGGGAGTACCACAGGTAACATTTACCTGCTTTACCTGGATTTATCCAACCACAGCCGCAAGAACGTTAACCAATTACAGAAAACATCAGGACTGTTAGACCTTAGTCCTATTATTAAAACTCATTTAACTGGTTCATCAGGGTCAGTTTAAAGGGAAAATCTATAATATAGGAAATTATTTGCAGGGCTGTAGACAGGATTTTATAAATACTGAAACTGTTAACTGTTATTTAACTGTTAATTATAGTCTTTCCCAACAGGGCAGCTTTTATTTCTGTATTTATTAGCTTAAATTGTATTTTTCTCTGTGTATGTTTATTTCTCATCCATTCAAAGTTATGTTTTTGCTTCCCTTTTGTGCCTTTAAACCGTCGTTAATTAATTGTTTAAAATTAATTTTAGTCGTAATTTAAAATATTATATATAATATCCACCAACTGTTCAGGCTGTTAAAACTCAAACTCCAGATGAACTGTTCTTTCTGATTTGTGAGGAGGAGAAATAGGAATTTGATGATGTTAGTATTTGTGCGTAATCAGTGTTTCAGCAGCAGTAGTTGTGGCGGGGTCCGACAGCCAGCATCAGGAACTTTCCTCTCACATGTGCTGAATGCCGATGTGGTCTATTGGCAGCCAGCAGTTTAAATTAGCAGCAGGAGACAAACGATTGTTACCTCGTTAGTTAAAGTCAGAGTTTCCAGCTCTGTTTAACGAGAGCAGCAGAGACTCTCATTAAACTTTCTTTCATTTTTGAGAGATTTGTTCTGTTATTGTTCTGGATTATTACTGGAAACTGTTAACCTCCTCCTTTCTATCTGACATCTGATAACCAATCAGAAGCTAGGAAGACAATTGACCCTCCCTAAACCCCGCCCCCTTTTGCTCTGTGCTCCAATCACAGTTGAGCAAGCTTCAATCAACTTCCTCCATTCCTGTACTTAGATATGCTATATGCTAAGCTAATATATGTTGAAAAGAAAACCACATTTTGGTTAAAATATAAAAGAGACATGTTAGCAACACGTTAGCTAACTACTCTGCATCAATCATTAGCTGGCTAGCGAGCTAATTAGCATTTTGGACCACAGCACTAGCTAACTAGCTAAGTAATCTACATCAACCATTAACTAGCTGGTTACATCTGATAACTAATGTTAGCAAAAGGCTAACTAACGATTGAAGTAGATTAGGTAGCGAGTTAGCTTTTTTTTAAATGTCTTTTTTTACATTTTTTTAAAAATCTTTCTTAATGTTTTTTATGTCCTCCGTAACACTTTGAACAGCTTTGATGCTGAGTCGTGCTGTTAAATAAACGGTCCTCGCCGTCCTAAAATTCAAATAGAAGAATTTAAAATGAGTATCAGGACGTTGTTGGGTTTAAAAATGTCTTCCAGCTCTGCTAATGAACAACAGGATCCATTAAAGGAGCAGCTGTTTAACATCTAACAGACTTTCATGTGTTCACCAGCTGCTGCTCATTCCTCCATTATTTTATCTTGTTAGTCTCATAAAGAGATTAAGTTAGATTTCCTCTCTTTAGTCAGCCTCCAGTTTCTTTCCATTAATGATTTTGGATTCAGTACAGTCAGATCTGACACCAGCAAAACAGTTTGACATTGTTCATTTAAATGTTGTGTGCCTCCATTTAATGAGCCTCTGTGATGTGATTTTGGCTCAAAGTCTCGTCCGTGTTTCAGGATAAACTGCAGCTGTAAATGTTTGTTGTGTGTTCATCCCCTCGTTGTTGTGGCTGTTCAGGTGATCGCTCCTGAGGAGATCGTAGATCCTAACGTGGACGAGCACTCTGTGATGACCTACCTGTCTCAGTTTCCCAAATCTAAACTGAAGCCCGGCGCCCCCTTGAGGGCGAAGACGCTGCACCCAAAGAGGGCCAAAGCCTACGGACCAGGTGAGGAAAACACGCCCAAAAATGCACCAAACTCCATTCAAAAACTGACTGATTTTAATGTTTTTTTAGCTTCATGTGAAAAGCAGCTGTGTGCTTCAGACAAGTATATTTCACTATCTTGTTATGTTTTATAGACTAAATACTTTTAGCCCCACCCATTTTGTAAACCTGTCAACTCTAACCCTGTACTTAGATATGCTATATGATAGGCTAATGCTAGGCTAATTTATGTTAAAAAGACAACCACATTTTGACGATGGTTAGAAGATAAAAGAGACATATAAATTCACATCTTACGTTAGTAATGTTAGCAAAACACTAGCTAACTATTTAGTAAATTTACATTAAATGTTAGCTATTGTTTTACAAACATTATCTAACTAGATCTCACGTCTACATCAATCAATTTTAAAGATGGTTAAAAGATAAAAGACATATATACATGTTAGCAAATGTTAGAAAAACACTACATCAGTAATTATTTAGCTAGTTAGCTAATGTTTTGATAACATTAGCTATCAGATGTAACTAGCTAGCTAACAATTAACCAAAATGCTGACACGCTAACTAGGCAGCTAGTGTTTTGTTAACATTAGCTAACTTAAGATGTGACTATATATATCTTTAAAATGTGGTTGTCTTTCAAACATAGATTAGACTAGCATAGCATATCTAAGTACAGGAAAAGAGGAAGTGGAGTGAGGCTCAGCTGTTATTGGAGCACAGAGCAAAAAGGGGGCGGATTTGAACTGAACTTCCTCTCATGTGTCTCTCAGGTATTGAGCCTCGGGGTAACGTGGTGTTGAAACCAGCAGAGTTTCTGGTGGAGACGGTGGAGGCTGGACTGGGTGAGGTTCTGGTTTATGTGGAGGATCCAGAGGGACACACGGAGGAGGTGGGAACACACACTCTTATTTTACATTCAATCAAACACAACAAAGTGAAAAACAACTGATATTTATTGTCTGTTTGCGTCCATCAGGCCCGAGTGATCCCCAACAACGACAAGAACAGAACCTACTCGGTGGTCTACCTGCCCAAAGTGGAGGGGCTTCATAAAGTAAGAAAAAACACTGTACTGTAGAAAAGTCCCTTAAATATCAAAGGTCTACTTATTAGCTTTCAGAGCTATCAACTGCGGAAGGCCATTAGCGGTTCTTTCCCGTCCTTCCATCAGGCCTGGTGGTGGGGTGCAGCAGCATGTGACTCTGTTGCCTCCAGGCTGCTGCCCACCTAGAGTCGGGGTCTGTCAGAGGTTTCTGCTCATGGTGGGAACTGTTGGGTCTCTGTAAATAACATAACATATAAGGAGTTCGGTCTAGACCTGCTCTATTTGAAAAGTGTCCTGAGATTACTTTTGTTATGAATTGGTGCTAATACAAATAAAACTGAATTGAATTTGAATTGAAATTGAATTGAAACAGGTGAAAAAGGTTTTGGTTAATTAGTGACCAATCAGAAACCCTGACAGGCCTGTGTCTGACTGCTCCCCCCAGGTGAAGGTGCTGTTTGCAGGGCAGGACATCGACAGAAGTCCCTTCATGGTAAATGTTTCGAAGGCCATGGGCGACCCAACCAGAGTTCAGGCCCGCGGGCCGGGACTGCAGCAGATAGGAAACGTGGCCAACAAACCTACATACTTTGACATTTACACTGCAGGTAATCACTCAAACTGAAACTCATGAATACTGAACTACTCAACCTGAAACTGTTCAAAATGTAAACAAAGAACGCTGCTAAAGAGTTGCTGTTGAGCCCAGAAATGTGCATCCTGTAGGGGACACATGACTTTAGCCTTATAGGTTTCTCTATACTTACATACCTTCCTTTGTTTTTCCAGTATTTTTTCCTAATCAGTGATATTTGTCCAGAGATATAAAAGCTTTTAAACTTCAACTTCCATGTTATCATAGACACTGTAGCAATAAGTGTCTTCTTTCAGTATTTAAGAGTCTTGTTGTCCTTCTGTCTGTCCACCAGGGGCGGGTGCTGGAGATGTAGGCGTCATCATTGTTGATTCAAATGGTCGGAGGGATACAGTGGAGATTGTCTTGGAGAACAAAGGGGACAGTATTTTCCGCTGCACCTATGTTCCCGTCCTAGAGGGACCTCACACCGTCTATGTGACCTTTGCTGGGCAGCAGATTCCCAGAAGCCCTTTTACTGTGCACATCTCAGAGGGTAGGTTTTACACATTTGTGTTTACCACACTGGACATCATCAGTTCTGACCTTATTTTTGTTCTAGATGGTGTCTGTGGTTCCTTACAAATGTTACAATGAAATGGAAGCCATCATTTTGTCATAGATTAATTTTCCATGTTCCATTGTAGTTATTCTGACTTCATTCACACACCACCTAATATAAACATGATGGACCCTTCCTTTTGTAACCACCATTTCCTTCCCCTCAGCATCTGTTTCTAATCAGTGTCACTGAAATCTGATAATTAAAGAACTAAAAGGTTTTGATTTCCATAACAATAGAGAATCTGCAGTTCAGTCTGATGGGACTGTCGGTACTCAATCTTCAGTACTGGGTTTTACTGGCTGAAGCTGTGTGCTGTCATGGTTTTGGGCTGCGGTGTTTGGTCTTGTCCTTGGTGCCCCATTGGTCTGCTGGGAGAGGTGTGGACTTGTCTGTCTGACTTGTGGTCTGGGGTACCTTGTGTAGTCTGATGCCATTGCAGAATATGGATGGACTTGGTATTGTTTGTCTCTGTCTTGGGATCTTGTCCGACTGAGACTCTCTCTAAAATGACCTTACCTGTCTTGACTTAGAACTTAGTTTGGGTGCTTGTCAATCATTGAGTAGGGACTTGTCTATCTTTGACTTTAACATTGATAAGATAGATAGATAGATA